AACTTTGTTTCACTGTTCTCTTTAAAGGGTACGTCTACACAGTAGAGCTAAAGTGAAATATAGCAAGTTGTTTCTCATCTCCAATAGACACAGTCACTAATATGCCTTTTACCTTAATGCTTTATAAAGTTGGGGGAAGGGAGCAGGGGAGGAGGGCTGAGGGGAAGTGAATTTGGAAATTCAAGTGTTTACTGGAGTGTTGGGTTCAGGCCAAATATTGTAAAATGCATAACACCATATGCTGCCCCCTGCTGGTTGAAACGGATTTTTACCAAGTTATTCCTGCAACATTCCCCAATTTGTAAAGTCCAGATCAAAAGGGATTGGACCACGAAAAGAAAAGTATTTTACCAAATGTTTGCGGTTTATTTATTTAAATGAGCACATTAGTTTACAGTTTAGTACAAAATGGTCACTTTCCTTGGTAGAGAGAGGTTATCCTACTGCCATTTTCGTGTCCACTAGTTTCTCTTTAATTCAAGTCATTCAATTAAAAATAAATAAAACATTTACATTACAGAACAGTTAATTAGTCTCAACAGCTTGTAATCAACATTTCCAGACACAGAAAATACATTTGAACCTTTTGTAAAAATGGTACTAACACCCAGTTCTAAACAGAAGTCACACCAAGTGCACACAATTTGCAGTTAAAATTAGAATGCCAAGGAATAGATTCATTTTGGCATTCTTGGCACTAGTTTCCCTAAGAGGTCCTACATTAGTTATTTTTGCTTCTTTCACATTGAAAACATCTGACTAGCACAGAACCCTTTCCATTTTACGATGTACAAAATTCCTTCATGAAAATGTTTAATTTGGTATGATCCATACTTATTAATTCATCTCACTTTGCAAACTTTGTGACTTAGCACATTAAAAAAAATCAAAATTCCAGGCACAAAGAGATGCTTTTAAAGGCATTTTAATGAAAGGAAAATAAACAGATGACAGGGTATTTGTAATACAGTATGTCAAAACAACACTGCGCATCTCATGACAGACACGTAACACTTTCTAGAGATGCAGTCAGTTATGAAAAAAATCATGTTATAGCACCAGCTGTGGAAATCCATCCTGCCAGTCATGCGTAAAAGGAAATAACACAGGTGGATGTAAACCTACACTGGGACAGCAAATAAACTAGAATTAACCTAACTAACCCCAAAATTCAGGTTCGCTTTTCTACAAGGTGGGTCTGAAAATGAAAGCTATGTACCAATTATGTAGCAGTGCTTAGCCATAACACCAAGACTGGACAATCATAATTCTGTTTACATTTATCTATATTTGAGGTTGAAGTGTAGGAAATGGAATAGGTCCCCAAACCTCCATGGTTGCTTCCCTCCCCCACCAAATGGCATAAAGGCAGAGTGAAAGCTTACAGTATTTATGCAGTGAACAAAGAACATTTTAAATGCATCCCCCACTAGCTGTTATAAGGGCAAAATCATCCCCACGACCCTTGGGTAGCTCATAAGAACGGCCACCCTGGACCAGACCAAAGATCCATCAAGCCCAGTATTCTGTCTTCTGACAGTGGCCACTGTCAGATGCCCCAGAGGGAATGAATAGAACAGATAATCATCAAGTGATCCCTCCCATTGCCCATTCCCTCTTTCTGACAGACTAGGGACACCATTCTTGCCCCTTCTGGCTAATAGCCATTGATTGTTTCAATTAATATACAGAAGAAAATAAAACAAGACACAAAACTAACCAATCCAGCTCTACACAATCCAGTGTGACTGAAAATAAAGCTAGTGTTATTTAATATTGATCAGCAGAACAAAGAGGTCTCACTGAGACGGATCAACATTTTCCAGATCAGGTGCCCAGTTTTTAGAGATGCGGAGCTCCCTAGCCTTTGTCAATCTTAAAAGTTCGCCTGATTCAGGCCCACAAGTTGCAAAATTCTGTTAACTAATTTCCTCCCTTTCAGACCCCCACTATTTGAAACCCTAAAATAACCAAGCACAATGGCATTGATCAGACTGAGAAGTGTGACGTAATTCCCACTCTTGTTTCACTATGTCTTAGAGTATTTACAAAGGAGCCTCATGAGAACGTATAGGGATTCTTATCGCTCCCACAACAGAGGGAGGAAGCCATTTTGGTCCCTCAGGTGACCTTTTAAAACATCCATTTCCTTGGAAAAAAGGCAGATGGATGTGAAATCGCCATGGCTGCTTCTTCACATCCATTTCGGGAGAAACTCTTACAGGTGCCCCAAGCATAAAACTGTGGCTCTACCGCCAACACTGTTACCTCAGCACACTGCCATGGGGCGCAGGCAGAACACAGAACAGCTGCATGGGTGCTCAATCTCTAGTTTGAGGTACTGAGGTGGGCTTCCTCGCTCATGCAAAGCCCATTTATTCAGGTGTGGCCCTGAAACAATATTTAGCCTTAAGGCAGCTTAAGGGAAACACGAGTTAATAGTTCCAGCACAGCTCTTGTCATGTGAATGCAGATGTAGGAATTGTTAGACACGTACCAGTGCATGCACAGTAAATGTCTTGGTTATTTTATATATGCAAGTCACTCCTAACTCCTTTACACCCGTTCTCTCTGTTACATGAAGCTGCAGTTTAAGTAAGCAAAAGATTATTCAAACACACAACTCCCTGTAATTGCCATAAAAATGAGCTAAAACTTAGTGCATACATTTCAATAAGGAGATTTGTATTTATTACATGTGTGTCAAATGGAAAAGATTTAACTTTGTAATAGGGCTTGCAATGGAAATAAGAGGTTATTACACAGAATAATGACTAACAAGGAATAAATGACTGAATTAGCCTGAAGCTGTTTATTCCCCTTTTCATGACATTTAGGGGACATTTAGTGGAAGGGACAGCTAATTTTAACACTGGCACTGAATTCTGCAGATCTACTATGTTGTATAAAAAGGTATTTCCTTGCATCAAAGAAAAACATTGAGGCTAGAGCTTGGCAGATTAAAAAAAAAACATTTATACGGATAAGAACACCAACAATTATACTCAACAGGATTGAAAACCTCTTGCTGCAAGCCATAAACCATCCACTGACAGTTGGGAATCAGGAAACTTCTACTTTGGGCTGGTAATTTTGTAACTTCACTTCATGGCTTCTTATACCTTCCTCTGACGCATCTGACAGAAGCCACTGTCAGAGACAGGATACCAGACACATGGAACAGTAATCTGATCTGGAATGTTTCAAAAAGCGGCCACAAACCATACTGGGGTAGACGGGATGAGCACAATTGCATCTCCATGTCTTTAGAACCAGGGGTCACGCCAATTAAATTAGTAGACAGCAGGTTTAAAAACAAACATAAGGAAGGCTTTCTTCACACAATGCAGTCAACATGAGGAACTCATTGCCAGGGGATGTTTGAAGGCCGAAAGTATAACTGGATTCAAAAACATCCCTCAGCGATTATTAGCCCAGAGAGTAACGGGCACAATCGCGTTCTCTTGGTGTTCCTAACCCTTTGACGGATAGACTCTGGGACTGGATGACAGGGGATGGTCATTCAATACTTGCCCCGTTTTGTTCATTCCTTCTGAAGCATCTGGTGCCACCACTGTCAGAAGACAGGATCCTGGAGTAGGACCACAAGACTGATCCTGTGAGGTCACATCCCCTTTTTTTTTAAACCCAAACATTGGCATGCACTAGCAGAAGGCAGACTGTCCGGAATCACTCACATTTATGAAGCACAAGAAAACTTGACAATTGTGAGCAAAGATTCCTCACCACCTCACAGGCTCAAGAGGGGAGTTTTCGAAATGAAATGCTTAAGTTATGAAACCCTGTTATATTGAAGTGTGTGAGAGACAATGGTGTAAGAAGTTCCCTGTAACCAGAACAGTAATTTATATTGGCACATTAAAACCACTCAGGACTTTCAGCCTATATGACCAGGCAGGGAGTTTTAATTTACAAGAGTTTATTAGAAATGGCTTCCAATAAAGTAACTCAACAATACTCTACTTCCCTTAACCATTCCTTAGTTAATTCCCTATTTAAGAAATCAGCAAAAAAGAGTGTTATTTAACACACTGCTTAAACTTGGAATAGAGGGGCAGGCAAAAAGATTGGGCCTCGTTCTGCTCTCACTTACAATGGTGTAACTCCACGGAAGTCACTGGGTTGCTTTTGATTTGACACTGCCATACGCAAGGTCAGAATCTGCTTCTTGTACAGTTTTGAGAATACCCTGAATCACAGAGCCCCCTCGAACTGCACTTTCCCTGGCCAGAACTATGAGGTGGGGGACGAGTTGTATTTGGACATAGATAGCTTGCAACTACAAAAGTAATGGAAAAAAAGTATTACTTTAAAATATATTTTTAAAGTTTATTAAATTAAAATACACTTTTTCTTTCTCTGAAAAAAAAATCAAAATTCTTGCTTCTCCAAAAGCAGCAAGTTCTCAGATAGTGAGCAGTGGGCGGACAAGTAGATTAGTCAGTCAACTCAGGATAAAATTAAAAGGCTGTCTCAGAACACACACAATAGTATTCAGCTTCTTTCCAGAACTTGGAGTAATTAACTATGTAGTGCAATTCTTCACATTCGACCCCAATCAAGGATGCAGACAGTAAGTAATGAGTTCCTAAATGGAAAAGTTTTTTCTCATTTTACTAAACACCTTGGCTGTGTCTACACTGCACCCCTTTTCCGGAAAAGGGATGCAGATTAGACACATCGCTATTGCAAATCAAGTGGGGATTTAAATATCCCCCGCTTCATTTGTATAAACATGGCTGCTGCTTTTTTCCAGCTCGGGGCTTTGTCAGAAAAAAGCGCCAGTCTAGACGGGGATCTTTCGGAAAATAAAGCCTTTTCCGAAAGATCCCTTATTCCTGATTTTAAGAGGGATAAGGGATCTTTCGGAAAAGGCTTTACTTTCCGAAAGATCAGCGTCTAGACTGGCGCTTTTTTCCGGCAAAGCTCCCTGCAGAAAAAAAGTGGCAGGCCTTTTTTTTCTAATGAAGCGGTGCATACCTTTTCCGGAAAAGGGCTGCAGTGTAGACACAGCCCTTAAGATGCTACGGCCCTGGATGCTAGATAAATACTGGGACTCCTAGAGCAAGCTCTACAACACTAAGCTAGAACTGATGAAATGAGTTGGGAGTGGAGGAGGAGGGTTTTTGAATCAATACTGTGTATAAAATCCCTGATCATAAATATTAAAGCTGCATCTGGTACTGATCAGCCATTTACAATGAAAGTGTCATTTCTTAGAAGTTCTACACGGCTGGACGATAATACCGCACTTTCCACCGTTTGGACCTCATTCGGAAAAAGAAGTACATTATCATTAAAAATAAGGACGATGCTACATAAAGTACAACACATAGACTCATGTCTATGTTAGAAAATCCAATCCCTAGGAAAGACACGGACTGTTTGGTATCCTTATGGAGAACTGATTCAACTGTATTTTTACCTCTATCTTTGACAGGTCCGTTATTTGCTATTAATTTATCTAAGCCTTTAGATTTTGAATCCAACATATTTTGGTCCAGGAGCTTGTCCTCTTTGTTTCCACTTGGTTTCTTGGGCAAATTTTTGTCTTTTCTCTCTTTCACATCCCCAACTTCTATTTCATTAGAGTTCACTTGGCCTTCAGTGTATTTATATAAAATATTTTCATTGGTATAGTGATGCTTCAAGAACTGTAGCACTTGGGCCTTATTCCAGCTATGTAATCCTTTAATTTCATCATGGCAGTCAGGGCAGAGATCTGGAGTTGGCCATTGAACTTTAAGAAATTTTGGATCTTCGCTTAGATCTCCTACAACAAAAAATAGACAAAAGAATTTAAATCCATCTGCTCATCTGAAACTGAGGAGACTCTTTTCCATTTAATACTAGCAAGAAGCTTAGTGTAAGGAAATAACACAAGCCACACTTCAAAAAAGCAACAGTCACCATGTTTATACTAATCTAAGAGTGATCAAGAACAAGAGCCTGACAACGTTAATTTTCATATACTGTGTTACTACTTTTTTTCTTGGAAGACACAAATACTGCATTTCGACAGTTTCTCGTAACAGGACAGCAGTTCACAAATGCTACAGTTTTATCAATGATACAAATCACCCAATCAAATGCATTTCCAGGAGCTAATTTAAGTTGCCATTGAAAGACTTGTAAATATATTTAAAAATTTTTATAGACAGTATCAACAGTCCTATCCTTATCCTGCTTATTTCTGAAGTGTGTTTACTACTCTGGCAAACCATTTTCAGGACTTTAAACACCATTATAATATATTTAAAATGTCTGCTTGTTAACTTGTCAATGTAAAAGTGTTTCTCTTGGACTGGATTCAATATTAGGGTTTCAATTTCTCATAGCAGCAGCTGTCCTCCATAGCCAGTGTTGGAGTTGGCCAGTGTAAAATAAACTCCTTAAATTTCAATTGCAGGATTTTGAAACAAAAATCCTTTTCTAGTTGAAAAGCTAACATGGCTACTGGGCCCATATAAAACACCTGTGATTCTGATTAATATATGTACAGTCCAAAAGAGAAACCGGATTTTAATAAATTTAGCACATATCATTTAGCATCCCTGGTGGAACCTCTCTGGTTGGTAGACTCTGGTCCGGCAACATTGGTGGTCTGGCAGGACCATGGATATTGCTGGACCAGCAAGCCCCAGCCACTGAGGCTGCCAACAGCTGGTAGTGGAGCCGGTCTGGCAGGCCAGCAACCTACAGGGTCAGTGGTCTGGGGGCAGGGAAGCCCAGCCAGCAGGCCAGCAAGCCCACGGCGATGGGCCAGTAGCCAGAGCAGAACCCTACTGAGGCAGGGAAGCCGTGGGGCCGGCATTTGGGAGTGGAGCCCAGCAGCGCACTAGCTGGGGCCAGCACCCAGGAGAGAAGCCCCGGGAGAGTCCAGATATCTGACCTCCGCTGGTCCAGCAAAATCCCTCATTTGGACCAGTCAGGTCCGGATGGTGCCAGACCAGGGAGGTCCAACCTATATTAATCATCGCAATGCACAGTCAACATTTTTTCCTAGAAAGGACTTAGAACAATATAATGCTTTGGGGGAAATATTTTCTCTTTGACGATTTCATTAAGATGCTGGTTTGAGTGATGCAGCAATTATTCAGTCTTGAAAATACTTTGCAACTTATAGTGAACACAAAGACCCCAAATTTTTCTTTTTGTCCCCTCATACATTGGTAACATTCACAATGAGGAAATTTTATCTAATATGTTCTGTGCTTCTCCCCTACTTCAAGGCACAAGAAAAATGGTTTCTATTTGAAACAATATTTATTGCTTATTTTACATATCTTGGGAATACAGCTTACCTGGAAAATAAACATAATGTTGACATTTGATTGTATTAATGTTACATACACTAATATATAACAGCAGACAGATATTAAATGCAAAAAGAAACCAACTGTCTTTAGTGCTTTAGTTACAGGACACCCGAACACCACAATGGATGAAATACAACCTAACAGGTGGGTAGTGTTTTAGTCCAAACGATTAATTTAAAAAAAAAAAAAAAAAAAAGCTCTCCAGAAACAAATCTTGTTGGAAGAACAATTTTAATTTATTCAGTTATTGGCTGATGAATAGTGTGTGTCATTCTACACTGAGGAACCGAATCATATTCTTTTATGATTGTCTTCTAAAGGGCATTTCTCTAGTGATTTTTGCATTCCCAGATAGAACAAAATGAAAACAGATTTTTGGTGACCTAGAGAAGTGGTTTTCAAACTCTATCATGACCCAGGTGAAGAAAATGGTTGATGCTGCAAACCAACATCATTTGACTGGAGTGTGGGTTCGAAGGTGGGGCTGAAGAGCAAAGCTTTGGAGGCTCTGGGGGAAAGGTCAGGGCTGGGGCAGGAGGGGCTTACTTTGAGTAGCTCCTGGTCAGCGGTGCAGTGGGGTGCCCCTCCTGGCATTGCAGACCATGCTGCGCCCCAGAAGCAGCCAGCAACTGGTTCCCAGCCAATGGGAGTGTGGAGCTAGTGCTCGGGGCAGGGGCAGCACATGGAACCCTGTGCGCTCTTCCTCCCCCACACCTAGAAGCTGAGCCTGTTGCCAGCTGCTTCTAGGGCACAGCACACTGTGTGGTGCCAGGCCAGGCAGGGAGCCGCCTTCGCACCCCCACTGGTCACCTGGTCCCCCTGGAGCACTGAGACCAAGTGCCAGACATGCCACGACCCAGTACTTCTGAGTGAATTACACTCAGGAAGCATCAGCTCATCACACAACAGGTGGGACTCCAGAAAAACTGATGCTCTTGAGAACAATGGAACCTCCTCCACACACATTATTGTACCCTGATCCCTCTTCAGGACACAGTGGATGTGCCCTAACCGGACGTTTTATTCACGCTGAAGTTATTTCTGTTGGAAATGTTCCCTGGGATCAGTTCTTATAACTTTTAAACACCCACATAATGAAGACCACTAGCTGTTGAAATCATCTTGTGTAACAGTACACCAGTACACCTCAGAGCCACCAGTCCAAAGCAAGCTTTGCTGCGTGTTCCTGTGCCCATCTCTCATACCTGCAAGCCTGTCATTCACTACATTGTGCTTCTCCCACAGCCAGAGAACAGCCTCATCCAGAGTCCTCACGGCATCCATGGATTCTTTCGCCATCTCTTCAAAATGCTGTGCACAAGCCTTGCACGCAAAAAAGTGCTGAATATACCTCCGCATGATCTGCAGGACCACTTGGGGATTATCCTCAAAACCTGAAGAGAGAAATGGATCCTCATTAGCAGCTCCTAAACAAAACCACGGCTTCCAATGTTATTCTACTGACACAGCAAGAACCAACTAAAACCAACGGCGAAGTCCTGTGGCCCCTTAGAGACTAACAGTTGTAATGGAGTATAAGCTTTCGTGGGCAAAGACCCACTTCGTCACATGCATGTAGTGGAAATTCCAGAGGCAGGTATAAACTAAAGCTGAATCACAGGAAAAGGGTTCAACAATTTTGAATGTTGGTTTCATTTTACAGATGTACCTTGACATGGATATCCATAACGCAAACGCTATTCACTGACGTGCAGTTGCTGTGAGCGCTCAACTTAGATGGGCAGTGATATAAATTGTTCTACTGCCTAAGAAAAATGGCTATTTGTACAACTAAAGCCACCTTGTAAACACACAATAGACAGACACAGGAGTGTGAGATATCTGTCCTGCGTTCAGTGCACCTTTGTACAGTAAAATAACAGCACATTTAATATCAAAGCTTATCTCCCCTTTCAAAGGATATTTTGCAAACACGGAGAGGAAAGGCCGCTACAAGAAGATTTATATGCAACACGGGTGCTTTTCGCAGAAGCTCAAGGAACAGAGTATGATTTGGCATTGTTAAAACACATGAAGACAGCTACGGTTTCTTTACAAGTGATTCCTATAAAAACAGAGAATATCCCTCTATCAAAGACTGCAGGAACACACATACTGTGAATTCAGTACTAAATTGGAGCTCAGATACTATAATGAGGGCTAATCTCATTAAAAAACCCAAACAGCAAAACCCCTCTAACAGGCAAAGATGTCTCAGTAGCTCCAATCTGTTCCTGACCTTTCTTTAAGGTTCTCCGTGAGGTCCATTCTATTCACATTACATTTACATAAATACGAAGGCATATATATGCATATTTAATACAGTGAATTTACTCATGAAATACTTGTAAAAAGAATTTTGACTCATTATCTGGTAAAATCACGATGATTTGTTACGAGTGTTTACTCCCTCATGCGGAAGACACCCGAGTGAGAAACACTGTTAAAACCTCTTCAAATGAAGAGCTCTATCCTGCTGTTACAACTGCATATAGAGTTTACTTCTACAAGCAGCCCTTATTCGAGTACCCAGGTCCCTTACAGTAAGAACACTGTTTGCTGAGTATTTCTCAGAGATTTGCTTGCAGACTATTAAAGAGATGTCTGACTAGTACTTGGTTTCTCTTGTAAAACCTACTGCGGTGTATTTATCAATGTACTAAGAATTGTCATAAATAATTGAAGTAAAAACCTTTGTCGCATATAGAACATTTTGTGATGTAGCATCATGGACTGAATGACTATATTAGCAATTACTGAAGCCGAACACAAATTCAGCAATCTAATGACATGAAGTACAGTAAGGGTCTGCCATAATTTATGACAGTATTTAACTGAATATATCTTTCTAATGGCATATACAAAATTTTATTTACATTTACTATTGTTAAATATATTTGAAGTGCTTTAATTTCAGAACAATTCTCTAATGCATCTATATCCTCCAGGCACTGTTCATTGGACAAATGTTTCACCTAAGTTATTCAAAATATTAACAGTGTGTATACACTCAAACATATTACACACCTGTCTGTTCATAAAACACATTTAAACAACAAAACGGCAGCATTATGCTGTAAATACAAAAGCTCAAACATAAAAGGAAATGATTTAAAACTGAAGAGAAGTAATAAATGGTGAACAATCTCTACTCAGACATCCAATATCTATGATTGAACAGACATGTAGAAATAAAAAAACCCAACTGAGATTAAAGCAGATTAAATGTGAGTATTAAAAGAATACTGAAAAATAATTTTAGAAAGTCAACAGAATTCCAGGCAAAACAAAACTGTTACTAAACAACAGTTATTTTAAAGATTGATTTAAAAAAAAAAACAAAAAAACAAAGACAGTTTACATTGTTGTTCAGGTTATTGGCGCAAACAGCCCCTATACATAGGAGGAGAAAGTCACATGCAGATTTAACCATATACATTAACTCTTAAGGTTTCAAGCACATAGAATTTTAAGTACCACAGTGTTCATCTTTTAATTTCATTGATTTATTAATAAACATCCAAATTTTCCCAAGAATCTGTAAAGACAAATAGACCTCATCCTATAAACCTTTATACATGAAATATTTACTCACACAAATAGCCCATCATCTCAACAGGACAGTTCATATAACTAAGTATTTCCAGGATCAAGTTCTTGGAGTCTTAACTTAAAATCATTTCATTAGAGTTATACAGATCCTGTTGCAGGATCAGACCACACAGCTCAACATTTTAACAACACATCTGAAAATATATACATTGAAGGGAAGGATATACTGTAGTAAGAAAACTAGAGCAAATTTACCTTAGCTATCAGACTTTACAAGTAACTGGAACTACCAAGAAAATACTGTTGCTTTTAAAAAATGAAAAAAAATCCAAACAGAACAGCTCATTTCGTTTGCCTTTCTTTTATCAGCCCAGAGATGGATCTTCTATTAACATCTGCCATGTATCATCGTGTAATCCTTCTTTTCTCTTTCCTCCCAAACTACTGCAATTCAGGGTAACCCTAATCTTTAAAGTGGACAAGAATCATAAAACCCTACCTGTGGTGGGAAGGATTAGGGAGTGCATCATGCTTTTTAGTAGATAGGATTTAAACAAGCAATAAGGAGAGGAAAACCTCCCAAGACATAATCCGACAGTCTCAGACTGACCCAATTCTTTTGCCATAAGAAGTGATCATCAAATATCTGCCCCATTTAAATTGATAGTTAAGTGTACCAAAGATTTTTCAGGTTTTAGAGTATACTTCACATTTCTGCCTTCTTTTGAAAACACATTTGCAATATGGGAGCAGTTTAAGAAGCAATTTTATATAGTTTAATTATGGAGAACAATACAAAAAATACTGCTACATTACTGATAGAAATGTAGCCGTGTTAGATTGCTACATTACAGCATTTTCGTTGCCAGTGGAATGAGCCAATGAAGAGTTCCTAAAGGTACAACTTATCCCAGCTTTCAATGCAGTGACATCCAACCCACTTATCTTGGGTGTGATCTTTATGAGGCACTGTTGGCATTAACTTCTAATAGGATTCACCCTATCTTTACACAATCATTAATGTACAAGAACTATCAATTAGATATTGAACTACACAATTTGCAGATAAAGTCGAGACAATTAAGCAACTTAATTATGTCTGCAAATAATGATGCACAAACATTTATGCCTATATTTGAGTTCAACCACCAGACCTTTTTTTAAAAAACAAACACAAAAACAAACTAACCTATTACAAATGGCAACCAGAAAAAACTAAACCAGTTTCTGATGTTGCTACATGGTGACATTTTTCCAACAATGTTACTTTTCAAGGACATTTTCATGCCTGAAAATTATTGTTGTGACTCCAATCCACCAATCTAGACACAGGGTTATTCCATACAGGCTTTCTATAGATTGGCTCTGCCTAGACTAATTGAGAAAGACTTTGTAAAACAAAGTGGACAAACAGATATCAGCAAAAGGTACAAACTTCCATATTCTCGATCACTAAATAGTCCTTTCCAGACAGATAGAAACCAAAGTGGATTATTAACATGCAGAACATTCTGGGCCTTAATTACAGGAAACAAATTACCCCAATTTTAATTGTAATTGGGTAGCTTGCAACCTCCGAATATTCTTGCCCTACTCCTGAATTTGAAAGTTATTCCATGATGATTTGAAAGTTATTCCATGATGTACCCATTTGCTATAACATTTCCAGAATTCTTCCATTACATTAACATCTGCAAAGTGTTTTTAAAGAAATAAAACAGAGCAAAAATAAAAAACAAGTATTGTTCTGTCAAGTACAAAGTGATTTAGAAAATTTCATTTTAGCATCCATAATTCAGTCTTCCACCCATGATGGAAATAAAAAGTGCATCTGATTAACCATGTACACAAGCTTCTTAAATGTGAATCAATAGCCAATTTTCATACCTCCCCAAAGTTGTAAAATACAAGTAATTATGTAGTGTGTCTGCTATTAAACTAGAAATATCACTTATGGACACACATTCTCATGGGGGACCTACAATATGAAAATACAATTAATTATTCAGTCCTACGATTTAATATTCATAAAATTACACAAACTGGTTCACAACCTTTTTTTTTTTTTGGCTTTATAACTAGTTTTGCTGCATTACTAATTCACATTTAAAAAAATATAGGATATGATTTATCCCTCACAGATTTGCATACCCCATCCCACTTCATTAGGAGAAACATCAGTTCAATGTATCAAAGACATTCCCATGCTTCTGTGTTTCCTTTTTCCCCCATCTGCAAGACCATGCACCTCACTTAACCCCATTTGCAGGGGAAAAAGGGATGGTCATACCGCCTTACAGAGCAGCCCATCAACACGGTTTTGAGCCACCCAGAAGGGTTGCGGCAAAGCAGATGTGCCCTGATCCCTACTGGTCCAGAACTGAAAAAAACGGAGCCTTGAACGTTTATGTCCTTCATGGAACTTGCTGCAGTGCATCTTTTATTAAAGCCTCTGCATGGGATCACTGAGCAGGGATTTATTCAAATCCTGTATTTGTTATGCTAATTTATGCACAGCTAGACTACCACATCAAGCTCTCCCCTCCTTTAGTTCTCTAGTGCAACTACTGCTTACCTGTATTGATTAGAGCTTTTGGTCGAACTGCAGCTTGAACAGTTAAGGTATGGAACAGCTTCCAGAGAGCACACGTATAACCTCTCAACTCTGGTCTGCTGCCCTGACAGCCGACCCACCGAACGCGGTTAGTGAGAAATATTCCAGAAATCTAAAAAGAAAATATTCTTTAAAAAGTGTCCAATCTGGGGCCAGATTGCTTGAAAATGACACGTCCCTATATCACGTCTGTTAATTGCTCCAGAATGGAAAATAAATGTTTGGTATACGTGCACCTCTTTTTGTTGTGTTTACCTGGCAATTTCAATCAGCTGGTTAAAAGAAACGGACCTTTACACAGGTGTTGCTAGCAAAATACAGCCAAATATGTGTAATGTTGATATTACAGGTTGATGTTTGGATATTCTTTTAGCAGATTATCACTTGGTTAAAAGGAAGGTATGTTTACACTGATCGGGCGCGTGGAATATAGACTAGGGATGCGAAGGACTAGTCGATTATCTGATAAGAAAATGCTTAGGACTAGTCACAATTTGTCAACTAGTCGCTCCCCTGCCCCTTTGCTGCCTTCATCAGAAAGAAGCAGCAAGGGTAAGGGGGAAGAAAGAGGTACTTCAAAGCAGCAGTGCCATGTGGAGCCTGGGGCCAGACGCTGGGCTCCACACAGCGCTGCAACTTTGAAATGCTGGGAGGAGACTGATGTCGGGCTCCCGCGGAGCTTCAGAGCAGCAGCGCCCGCAAGGAACCTAAGATGATCTGGGAACTCACTAGCTGATCCTGGGCTCCATGCAGCACTGCTGCTTTGAAACACCGGGAGGAGCCTGATGCCAGCTCTGCAGCTTTTTAAAGCGGCCAGGAAGTCCCCAACTGACTCCAGGCGCTGTGTGACACTTTCGCCTTTAAAGGGCTGTTTCTACCCTTCAAAGGTGCAGACACAGCCTGCCTTTCACTGTAGTGATACACATGCAGTGCCTGTACTGTGCACACGCTGCTGGCTACACTGGCAGAGCCACAATGGATTTTCCCAGCTAGCACCTGGAGAAAGGAAAGGAAGACTCAGTTCAGATCCAAATGGCCCAAACCTGCAAGATGATGAGGTTCTCACTTCTCACCGAGGTAAAAGGGAATTGAGGTGACTTGGTGCTCCACAGACACTCAAAACAATCCAGAATCAGCCTCCACATGTATCAGTTAACATTACTGTTAATGCCAGTAGAGCTCAATTTAAAATAATACACTTTCACAAATGGATAGTGTCTAAGTTGAGGCGATTGAATACATGTTTAAAGGAACTTAGGGCTTGTTACGTAGTCAGGGCTAGCCTAGAGTATTGTTATTAAACAGCTTTTTTGGGGTGTATGTATGAAAACAGGACACCATATATACAGTTGGAGCTCCCTGATCCTGCCCCTTCAGGACCTGACTGGTCCCGAACAAGACCAGTTTGCTGGCCCCTCTGCAGCCAGCCTTCAGGCTCTCCTTGGGGGCCACCAACCTCCCGGCTTGGCTGCCCTCCTGGCTGTGGCCCTAGCTCCCAGTCCCCCCCCCCCCCCCTGTTGGGCTT